TTGCTGCCCCTTATTGTTTTTCTCCTTTATCATATTCTCCTTTCACTGTTGTTTGCTTGTTTTTTGTTTTGTTTTCCTATGTGATTTCTCCTCTTTACCCAGCAGATGGGAGACATCAATTGTGACCACACTGTATCCTCTGCAGCTCCATACACTGGACAAGAGCCACTACCCACTCCTATGCCACCTAGGATGATCAACAATGAGCATCAGCTAACAAGAGCCAAACCCATCCTAAAGGAAAACCGTTCACATGGGCCAGTCTCTAATCACACCCACCAGGACCTAGTTGGTGAGAGCTTAAGAAGACATCAATGTACAATCACTAATTAAATACAAATACAATGACCACAATGTCTCAGAGACATTAGATGATTTTAGTGCACACAAAGAAATGAGACTGGCTAAAACAAATGACCCAAATGCAAAACCAGAAAATGTTTCTGAAAAATAAAAGGTAATGGGACTGAGAATTCAAAAGAATGATTATTTGGTACCTTCAACGTACTGACGGAAAGATCAAGGAAAACAGAAAAAACTTTACAATGGCAGTCAAAAATAAATGCAAATTTTGAAACAATAAAAACCTGCAAATAGTTATCCAGAATATTAATACAAAGAACTCAGAAATGGACAATACACTGAAAGGGCAAAGAAGTAGATTTGAATCAGCGGAATTCCAAGTTAGTGGCCCTTGAAAATACTAGTTAAGTTACAAGAACAATCAGGAAAAAAGAATGAAAATATCAGAAAAAAGTCCGAGATTTATGAGGGACACCATGATGAGGAATAACTTACAGATGATCAGAATTCCAGAACAGGAAAAGACATTAAAGACATGGAGAAAACTGTCAAAGAGTTGCTGGAAGAAAACATCTCTAACATCACAAAAGATAAGTATACAAGAAGCTGAATGAATTCCAAACAGGATAGACGCCCTGAAGAAAATCACCAAGACATATCATAACTAAACTTTCCAAAATGGAAGACAAAACGAAGTTACTACAAAGAAGAACCAATAAGACCAAGGTCTGATTTCTCGGCAGAAACCATGCAGACAAACCATGCAAACCAATGCAATGGGCTGACATAAATAAAACTGAAAGAAAAAAAATTGCCAACTAAGAATCATGCTGTTGTTGCTGGGCGCCATCAAGTTGATTCCAACTCACTGTGACCCTACACACCACAGTACAAACTACTGCCCAATCCTGGGCCAACCTCACAATCTCTGCTACTTTTCATCCCACTGATGCTACCACTGTGCCAATCCATCTCACTGGGGGTCTTCCTCTTTTTCTATGACTCTCCACTTTACCAAATATGATATTCCTCTCCAGTGAACAACTGCTTCTTGGTCTAGGCACAGGTTCCTCATGAGCACAATTAAGTGTTCCGGAATACTCACACTTCACACTATTGTCCATAGAATCATAAATCCAGCAAAATCGTCCTTCAAATATGACAGCAAGATTAGGATATTTCCAGATAAATAGAAATAAAAGGAATTTGTAAATATCCAGGCCAACTTTTAAAAAAATACTAACGGGTGTTCTTTGGACTGAGCACCAACAGCCACAGCAACCTGAGATTACCATACATGACACCACCACCCAGAACTCAATCCAGAGACAAAAGCATCAAACAACAAAACAAACCTACAAGACTGAAAATAGGGAAACAGATGTCAATTTATAATGAATTCAATTACAAAGGCAAAAGAGGGAATAGTGTAGATAGAGAACTTCAAAATGACAAGGAAAGTCAAGTAGATTTTGAGATAAAACAGACTGTTTTAAACAGAGAAAGATTACATGGTAATCTCAAAGAAAATTAATACACTTTCACATCAAAATAAAAAAGAGGAAAATCAGAAACATTTAGCAAATATTAAAACAACAGCAATGAAGAAAATGAAAAGAAAATCCACAAACAATATGAACCAGGGGCAGAAATCTATGGGGAACAAAGAAACTAGCAATAGTACAAAAACACACACACAACAAAATGACAGCAATCAATTCACACTGTCAAGTATTATGCAATGTTGAATAATAATGATAAATCTGGGAAATATCTCATAACATGGGTGAACCTGGACAACATTATGCTGAGTGAAGAAATGAGTCATCACAAAAGGTCAAATACTGTATGAAATCACTGTGGCAAAAAAAAACTAAGAAAAGGTTTTCTTGCAAAAAGAAACATTTTATGCTGGTTACTAGGGGTAGGAGGGAAAGAAAAATTATTTCCTGGGTAGAGGATAAACACATGTTAACTTGGGTGAAGGAGAAGGCCAAATACAAGAAGATGAAGGTTGGCACAAGAAAGATGAAGGTAGTGGAAGACACAGGAAGAAGTGCAAGAGTTAAAGTGAATTGAGTGAGACCGAAAGGAATGTTGGGAAACATGATTACAGAAAGCTTGTAAGCCCGTCTTCAGCTTAACTGATTGGAATACCTAAAAGGGATTCCAGAACTTGCCTAGTGAAATAGGCCTCTTGCGGAGCCTTTGCAGTGTATAGGACCTTAGGTGGAATCCTGTGCCCCATCCAGAACTTTCTGAGGTGGGACATTCCCACTAGAAAGGACAAGCAGACCAGCATGGAACAGCTAGAGCAACAGAAGATAACTCTTCAAAGAAAGATCATCAGGAAAAACCCAAAACAAAAATGGCAGTATGACTGGCTACTACAAGAATAAGCAAGTTGTTTGCCGGGAAGCCATCAAGGCAAGCAATCAAGTTCCTTCAGAACAACACTCCCTCTAAGACTAAAATTCAAAGGGAACACACAAACAAGCATGTAAGCTTGCTGACAACCACATTGGTCTACTGGTGAGTGGAAGAGGGGGAAAGACAGCAATGAAGAAATGGGCTGAGTTCAACCATGTTCCATACACTCCCTCTGACCTGGAGATGAGAGAGAGAAGAGGAAGGGCTGTTTGGACCAAAGGGTGGTGAGATCTGGGGACACCTGAGCTCATGGACAAGGACATAGCCACAGAGCACTAGAGCAGAAAATGAAGCATCCCACTGATATGAAGTGACGGGAGATGCACACGAACACACAAACTTGCAGACAGTACCCATTTGACCTACCCTTGATGGCTTGATAATCAGAACTCGACTAGAGGAAGATAAAAAAAAATTTTTTTTATAAAGGAAATGAGGGTAATTTGCTACAATCTGATGAACCTGACCTATACTAATGGAGGTTGTAACTCTAAATACCAACAGAGAGGGAAGGAGTCTTCAAAGCAAGTATCAATGCAAATATCAACTCTGTACACAGGGTAGAAAGGGATGGGGAACTTACACATTAGCTACCGAAAATGAGGGGGCAATAAAGCCACAAAGTGATTGGCTTAAAAGCGTTCAAGAGGAAGTTTAGTTTAAGAGTGTGTGAGGGAAGAAAGAGTCCCCACTAAATAGTTTGCATCTTGTCTAGATGAGTCTGGTGAAAAGAGATGGGGATAAGATTCATGATTCAATAGTAACTGTTATCATGACTAATTGTTACTGACACAAGTGTAAAGGTAGAAGTTTTGTAACAAAAACAGGGAAAGTAGTTAATCTTACAGTCCAGAAATAGAGGACCCTAGGACCATCAAGGGAGAAGAGCACAAGCGGAATGTAAGACCTTATCCTGAGAAGCAGCGACACCAGAGATGGAGGCAGAGATGGGGACATGGAGAGAGGGAGCAGCTAAGAAGTCTAAATTTATGGGAAGAGAGGAACTCAGAGATGGCAGCCAGGAAGCAGAATTTCAGAATGTGTCCTATGGTGGTATAAATTATTATGTATGTCTGAATGTTTAAAAAGCAAACAAAAAAACAGCTAAAGTGACTAGAGAAAAATACTGTTATCTGATGGTACATGGAGGGGATTATAATCAGTGTAATGAAACAAGGTGTATAATTTGTTGAATGTAAAATTGATGATCTACCCTGTAAACTTTTACTCGATTCACAATAAAAAGTTAAAGAAAAATCCATTCTCTGTGTTCTATTTGATGATAGTTACTAATTTGATTTTAGTTATCCTGTTTCTATTTAACTTCATTTTAAAGTCTGAATAAAGCATTTCTATTGTTCAAAAATCAAAACTATAAAAATCTTGCAATCAGAAATTCTGTTCCCACCCACCTCCCATATTCATTCTGGTTTATTCCCCTTTTATGTTACACAGGGTGTATGATACTACACACATACCAGGGGCCTGGTAACCTTGCATGTCTGTGCATAGGCCCTGAAGGCAGGGTTTGCATCACAGCTAACCTGTCTTGGCAAAACGCTGGGTCCTCTTGAAGCAGGAAAGGATGGCAGGCCTGGGAGAAGCTGCCCACCACTTGTCTTCCCATGTCGCCTGAGAGGCTATTAGGAGATAGTTTCCCATCACTCCCTGGGTTCTGATGAGACTGCCTGCTCCTCACCTCTCATAACTGTCCTGACTGGTGTGAGACAGGCACCCTTATCTATTCTAGTGGTGGGTCACTGTGTCTTCACCGGCCGTGGAAGTCAGGCTTTGTATGCTTATTCACTGACTTGTTTATTTCACTTAACAAAATATACACTGGAAATCACACCTTATCCAGTTCTTAGTGGCCTTCCTCATTCTGGTTACAATTCTATACTATATTTGTGCACCCTGATTTACTCAACTAGTCTCACGTAGAAAGATGTTTGGATTCTTCCAAGAAGCTTTCTTGGAAAAAAGCTTTTTTTTTTTTTCTTAAAAGAGACTTTGGAAATCGGCTTCAAGCACTGTTGTTGTTGTTAGGTGCCACTGAGTCAGTTCTGACGCATAGCGACCCTGTATAGGGTTTCCAAAGAGCGGCTGATTGGTTTAAACCATCAACCTTGCTGTTAGCAGTCCAGCGCTTATCTAACAGTGTCACGCCAGGACTTGCTTCAAGGATAGCATTGTGGAAATGTTAAGTCCTTTCATATGAAGAGGACATAAACTATAACCAACTAATTTTTCTTAAATTGACCACTCACCCATTTTCCTTGGTCTAGAATCTTCTGAGACAAGCAGGAAGCGGCGGCTGCTATCTTAGAAGGGTGATAATGCACCATGTCATAGTCAATGAGAGTCAGCTCCATCAAATACTTGGCTAAAGTGTGCTGTTCAACATCAACCTATGAAGGAACAGCAAGAATCACAACTGCTATTACTTATCTTGCAAAATTCTGGTGAGAACTAGAACTCAGATGCACTTAGTCTACTTATCCATCACAAGAAATGCTCTAGTGCACAGTCTACTTCAGACACACAGCATAGTGCCTTTTCTCTTACCAAGTGATGAGATACGCATTAGGACCTTTCTAAAGGATGCTTTTTATAAACTCATTAGCTTCCCTATTAAGAGCACGCAGGTCAATGTTTCTGGGATGAGACATCCAATTAACATAATAAAGTCTCCCACAAAGTCGCAAACACTTACCTCCCCAGCTTTCGATGCTCGTCTTAAGAAGTGCAGGGGCAAGGGTCGACCCAATTCAAATTTCAATTCTTTCAAAATTAGAGTTTCCATTTCTCGGATTTGGGGGCTGGTATAAGCATTGTCTGTGATATAAACGAAGTCTTCAATATTTGGAGAAAACATCTCCTCATACTTGGAAGCCAAGAGCAAAGCAGTAATGCCAACCAGTTGAAGCTTCTTACGAGAGACTGGCTGAATCTAATTGAAGCAAAAAAAAAAAATTCAAAAGTTCTATCTAATGCACACCAATGTTCACAGCAGCACTATTTACAACAGCAAAAAGATGGAGACAGCCTAAGTGCCCATCGATTGAAGAATGGATACACAAACTGTGGTACATACACACAATGGAATATTATGCTACCTTGAAGCTACCACATACCATGGATGTACCTTGAGGACATTATATTGAGTGAAATGAGTCAGTCACTAAAGGAGCACTACTGTATAGGAGCACTACTGTATAGGAGCACTACTGTATAGGAGCACTACTGTATAGGAGCACTACTGTATAGGAGCACTACTGTAAATTACTGGGAAGAAGAACAAGAACAAACAAATCACTTCCCCAGGAAACATCAAGGCAAGTGGTCAGGTCCCCTCAACGCAAACCCCCCTCCAAGACTAAGACTCAACGGAAATATGCACTCTGATTGGTGACCACACACATCACCGAGAGGGGAAAATGGGGTAAAAACATCAATGAAGCAGGAAGCTAAGCCCTACAATGCTCGGTGGGCTTCTGGGGACCCAGATGGGGACCTGGTTGGCCAGCAGTGTGAGGAGACCTGGGGACTCTTGGGCCCAGAGACAGTGGCATGGCCATGGAGGACTCAAGTGGAGAGTGGAGCTACCGGCTGATGGGAAGAGAGGGCAGGTGCACAAGAACACCCACATTTGCAGATGGTACCCACATGACCTGGCCCTGATGACTGGATGATCAGAGCTCAACCAGGAGAAGAAAGAAGAGAAAAAAAAAGAGTGATCTGATACAATTTGATGAACTTGACCTATACCTACGGATGCAGTGACTCAAAAGAGGGAACAAATCCTTACAGCAAGAAACATTCCCACCCCCTCCACACACAGAGTAGACAGAGATGGGCAACTTGGACATTGGATACACAAATGGGTGGGGGGGACTACAAAGGCAAGAAGTGACTGGCTTACAAGCTTTCAAGAGGGAACCTAGAGCTAGGGGGCATGGAGGAAGGCAGAATCTCCAGTGAGTACTATCCAACCTGTCTAGGCAGGGTTGATGAAATGAAATGCAGATGGGTCACTTGTGATACTATAGTGAATAATTGTTATAAGGACTGACTGTGAGGGTTGGAAATGTAAAGGTAGACATTTTGCAGCAAGGAAGGGAGTGATTAATTCTCCAGTCTAGGAGCGGAGGTCTCTAGGACCATCAACAGAGAAGAGCCGAGAGCGGGACCCTACCCAGAGAAGCAGCAATGCCTGAGATAGAGGCAGAGACGATGACATGGAGTGATGAAGTGGCTGGGGACTTTGGATCCAGAAAGGGAGAGGGACTGTGTGCTGAAGACTGGGGGCGGGGAGTGCAGGGGGCGGGTTTGTAGGGTATACCCTTTGATCAGTTGATGATGCATCGAGGGGATCAGAACCATGGCAATGAAACGATATACGATGGGATGAATGTAAAACTAAAGTTCTCTCATGTAAACTATCATATAATTTATATATATATATAAAACCAACCAGAAAGTTAATGGTAATATTTCTATTTGTTTACCTTCCACGATATGAAAGTGTAACAAAGGAAACACATCTACAACATCTTTTCATTTAGACCCCCACCAACGTAGAGTGGTTGAAGTTGTAAATTCATCATAGTTATAAAAATTAATAGCCAAAAAGAATATTTCAAACCAATTAGTCTCTGCGATACAAGGGTGATGTTCTTCTTTGTTTATTCTAATAAATTTGTCTTTATTTTTCACTCCGAAAAAAAAATACTAGGAAGAAGAACCCATACTAAGAGGGAAGAAAAAAAAAAGAAAGAAATTCTTTGCTGGTTACTATTTTATAGTGGTATGCCAGAGAAACGATGCTTGGCTGTCTTTGAATCTTGGTTTCTCTTGCATACCATTGTATAATATACACTTGAGGAGGACAGACAGGAATAGCCAGAAATATCACCATAGAAAGCTTTTAAGTCCATCTTCTGCCTAGAACAGAAGATACTTCTTGAAAGAAAGACTGACAGGAAAAATATAAAACAGTAATGGCAGTCTGACTGACTACTACAACAACAAGCAAGTTGCTCACTCAGAAGACATCAAGGCAAGTGGTCGGCTCCCTCAGGGTAAACTCCCTTCCAAGACTAAGACTCAAGAAGAATACACGAACAGACATGCAGTCTGACTGGTGACTATGTTGGTCACCGATAAGGGGAAGTGAGGGAAAAAACAACAATGAAGCTGTGAGTTAAGTCCGACAACATCCAATAGAATCCAGTGAACCCAGGTGGAGACCTGGTTGATCAGCAGTATGGCAAGACCTGGGGAGTCTTGGGCCAGAGTCAGTGACATAGCCACAGAGGACTAGAGTGGAGAGTGAAGCATCCAGCTGATAAGAAGAGAAGGCATATGCACAAGAACATCCACATTTGCAAATAATACCCACTTGACCTGGTTTCAATGACTGGATGATCAGAACTCAACTAGAAGAAAGAAGAGGGAAAAAAGAGTAATCTGATACAATTTGCTGAACTTGACCTACATCTATGGATGCAGTAGCTCAAAAGAGGGAACAAATCTTTACAGTGTGGATCATTCCCACCCACTCAATATACAGGGTAGACAGGGATGGGCAACTTGGACACTGACTACCCAAAATGGGAGGGGAGGGGGAACCTACAAAGGCAAGAAGGGACTGGCTTACAAGCTTTCAAGAGGGAGCCTAGATCCAGAGGACTTGGAGGAAGGTAGAATCTCCACTGAGTAATATCCAATCTGTCTGGGCGGGGCTGATGAAAAGAGATAGATAGCACTTCTGTGGCACAATAGTGAATAATTGCTATCAGGACTGACTTTGAGGGTTGGAAATGTAAAGGCAGATGTTTTGTAGCAAAAGGAGGCAAGTGGTTGACTTTGCAGGCCAGATGCAGAGGTCCCTGGGGCCATCAAGGCAGAAGAGCGGAGAGCGGGACCCAACCCAGAGAAGCAGTGGCGCCAGAGATGGAGGCAGAGACGATGACCTGGAGAGATGGAGCAGCTGGGGACTTTAGACCCAGAGAGGGAGAGGAGCTGTGTGTTGAGGACTCGGATGGCAGGCTTGTAGGATTTACCCTTTGGTTGGTTGATGATGCATGGAGGGGATTGCAATCATGGCAATGAAATGATATACGATAGGATGAATGTAAAGCTAATATTCTCTCATGTAAACGATCACATAATTCACAATAACAACTTAAAAAAAAAAGTTCGATCTAGCAAGAGGGTTGGTTCTTTGGGTCGAGCATGTTGAGAGGGACCCGGGGTACTGCGTACGCCCCTCTTCCAGGCACTGGGCACCTGAACCCTGAATAAGTGCCTCCACCTGTCATGACAACTGTTGTCCACCGAGTACTGTGTACCAGGCACAGTACAGTGCTAAGGCCCTCACCCGGGATTTCGTCAAATTCTCATAAAAATCCTAGAAAGTACATATTTTTATTTTCATTTCCAAATTTTGTTGTTAAGTGCTGTTGAGTCTGTTCTGACCCATAGTGACTGTGTATAGGGTTTCCGAGGAGCAGCTGGTGAGCTTGAACCACCAACCTTAAAGTTCAAACTGACTTTTCAGTCCAGTGCATTAACCCACAGCACCACACCAGGACTCCATTTACAAATAGATGGCCTAAAAGGAAGATTCAGAAGCCAGCCAAGATCACTCAGTTATTGAGTAGGGAAGCCAAGGTATGAATCCAAGCCTGACAATCAAGCTCCTAGTTGCTGCTCCTCCCCAAATTGGTACTCAAAGTAATAGAAATGAGGCCATGCAATTTAATGAATGCCTAGGAACACTCTGAATCATTGTGTGGTGGCACTGTAGGACAAGCACACAACCACAAGGTCGGTTTGAATCAGCCACTCCTTGGAAATCCTATGCAGGGTCGCTACAGGTTTGAACCAACTCGACGGCACTTAACAACAAGGTAAAGCTTGATGAACCTGCACTACCTCGCATTTCAGCACCTGCAGTTCTCGGACTTTTCATAAAGTGCCTTTGGGTCGCTCCTAAAGATGCACCGACCTCCTTAACTTTTTGTCTCCAAAGCCTAAATGCATGGTTTGATGACACACTATCTGATGACATGAGGTTTCTGAAGCCCCACCGTCACAGAATAAACCCCCCCAAAAAATATATGTCAACCTGGCTGGGCCACGATTCTCAGTGGTGTGGCAGTTATACATTGATGTATGTTTCCCCATGATCGCCCTTGATCTCATGAAAGGAGATGAGGGTGGAATAGATCACCCTGAATCAAGTTACAGCCCTGAGGAGACAGAAGGGGAGTCTCACTGGGGTGTAGCCTGTATCACCTTTGATTTTTTGAGAGAAACAAGCAGAGAGAGAGAGAGGGACCTACTTCCACCAAGAGAGAAGAGCTGGGAGCAGAGCATGTCCTGGGAACCTCCTAGAACTAGGAGACACAGAGAGAAGAAGCCTTCCCCTCGAACTGCAGCCCTGAATTCAGGCTTCTACCCTTCAAACTGTGAGAGAGCCCCCAATTGTGGCCTCTGTGATGGAAACGCTACGTTCTGAGGACAGCCGCTTACCTGCAGGAAGCGGTCCATGATGGCAATACACATGTACAGTGTCTCCTGTAGAAGCCTAAACTTGGAGTGAACTTGCACCAGCCAGTCCACCAGGATGGCACGCATGCGTCCATTGATATCACTGCCAGCTAAAAAATGTGGCTTTATGGATTGCAGAACCTGTCGGTAGAAAGAAGAGTTCAAAAAATTGAGCTCATTCTCATTTCCGCTGTGTGGTAAACTCCACATGATTGGTCCAACCTACACACAAGGCCCGCTCACCTCAAGCTGTCTCAGATATTGATAGATGTCCTTCACATAGTCACTGCAGAGCTGAGGGTTCTCCCAATCTTCATGGTCAATATCCTCGATTTTGCAGAGCAAGGCATCAGAGAAAGCTTGACACAGCTTCTCTTCCTTCATGGAGACATCCTCATGGAGGGGAGATGGACCCTATGTCAACAAAATACAGCACATGTATTACTATTACCTCAGAAGGAGCCTTAATGACAAATACGTTTGAAGTCAACTGGCTTCAAGATCAGTATCACATGCATTTTTGAGATACGGTAAAGCCAAAACAAACTCAAAAGTGTAGTTCTACTCTGCACACATGGGGTTGCCCTCAGTTGGACTCAGTTTATGGGCAATTAACAACTTCACTCTAAACAAAAGCCTAAGCCATACAGACCCTCCATGAGCTGGTCCCTACTCCTACTTTTCCTCTCTGATGGATCCCTTACTCCTCTCCCCTTAGCTCATCTACTTACTTCAGCCTACAGGGCTTCCTTCTCCCTTGCAGCAAACAGGTGAGGCTTTCTCTACAAGAATGCTCTTGTCCCGTATCCCTGTGGATACAACCCTCACCATCTTCAAGTTGTTCTTTATGTTACCTTCTGAATGACATCTATCATAACCTCTTATTTAATATTACAACCTGTGGTCAATCCCCCTCCTCTCCCATACAAGTATGTCTGATCTCTCTACGTATGCATGTTCTTTCCCTCATAGAATATATAACCTTCTAATAATAAAATACAGAATTTACTTTTTTTTCAAAAAAAGCATTTTGCACAGAGGTTTACCGATTAGCTCATTCTGTTTTACATCACCAAATCACTGTTTCATCTCAATGGCTGCAATCTCCTCAATATATTGTAATCTCATCACTTTCCCCACCCACTTCCTCCCTGTGTTTCTTGTTTCCATTCCTCCTACTCTCCCAACCCTTCAGAATTTTCTCTTTAGGCAAATGCTGCCCTTTAGGTTATAAATGCTTGACCATTCTAAGGTGTGCACACTTCACTCGTGCTGCTGTCCCCCTGGAGACCTATCTATTGCTTGACTGAAAATTGAGTCATGGGGGTGAGTTCAGTTCTGAACCTGAAATGTGACCAAAGGTCTCATGGTCCTACCAGTTTCTATCTGACCAGTAAACTTGGTCCTTTTGTAATGATTTTGAGTTTTGTTTCACATTTCCTTTCACTCTTTTCAGGATCTTCGAATGGGATTCCTTTCAGAGCAGTTGGTTATGGTAGTTGGGCACCATCTAGTTCTTCTGGTCTCAGGGTCATGGAGACTGATTGATGCTCAGGGTCATGGAGACTGATTGATGCTCACATGGTCCATTAGTCCACTGGACTAATTGCTTCCAAGTGTCAATTTTCACCACTCTTCTTTCTTCCACACATGGAAAAACCAATAGTTGCACCTTAGATGGCCAGTCAGGAGCTTTTAACATCCCAGTCACTCACAAAAGTAGGGTGAAGAGCATTGTCATTGTGAACTCTGTTATGTTAACTGACCATGGTGTCCCTGAGATGTTTGGTACTCTCTAAGATTTTATAATTTTACCCCCTGTATGCTCTACCACATTCAGGGATGATATGTTTGTAGTTCAGCTTGAGTTTCTATCCATGTATATACCCAGAGATCACTGTTGTGGCAGGATTTATCACTGTATAGAACAGTATTTATTTACCTCTGTTCCCTTTAAATTATAGGATTTATTTCTGTATTAAGTTTATTGGTTTTTTTTTAATTTTCTTGTTAGAATACAAATTCCCTAAATGAACATTTACTTATTTATTTTAACTGGCCTGGTTGACTAAGGTATCTCAAACATCCATTATAATCCACGACACCCAGTAAAATAGCTATTGAGTAACAGAAACATAATTATCTGGGGACAGAGATTATTGAAACTGATCATTCTCTTTAGCAGTAGTCTCCTTTGCAAATGCAATACTTTATTGTCTTCAACTAATCTATTTTAAATTGAGAAATTGACAACTAAAAGGCAGAAAAGCATATTCTAGTCTATGAATACAACAGGAGGAAAAAGCAAAGACTGAGCAAATGTACAATCCAGTATTTTCTTTTTTTATGCTTACTGGGTAATTACTCATAAAAATGAAACAAATTAAAAATTTATAAACCAGGTAAAACAAGTATTCAGGACTGAAGTATAAATTATACATGACTCTTAAGAAGAGTAGTGAGTACTTCCCACAGAGAGAGCTATCAGGAATATGTATAAGGGAAACAAAAAACAAAATCAAAGAGAAGGTTGTATAATAAACCACACAACTTAAATCTACATTGAAGCCCAATGAACACAGTTTCTAGTGCTTAGTTTGTTGTCAAGTGCCACCAAGTCGGTACCGACCCATAGCGACCTAATAAAACACTGCCCGATCCTGGGCCAACCTCACTATTTTTGCCACGCTTGAGTCCATCAATGCTGCCACTTGGCCAATCCATCTCGTTGGGGGACTTCCTCTTTTTCTCTTACCCTCCATCTTACCAAACATGATATCCTTCTCCAGTGACGGGTCCCTCCTGACAATATGTCCGCAGTATGAGGAAGGGATAAAACAAAATTTTAAAATCAGCAGTTCAAAACATGATCTTTCCCCTGACACCAGCGGTCTTAACTGGCAGAAGGTCAGGTGAACAAAAGGTATTCAGGGCATTAATTCAAGAATTTGAGAACCTCAAAGGGCTAGAATTAATGAGAAGAGCTACAAGAGACACTGGAGAGAAACCTAACGTTCCCAGAGAGGAAAGAACTGATGGGAGATGAGTTGTCAAAAGTATGCTGGTGCAAACTGCCAGAGGAAGCAAAGAAACACCAGCAATTAGGAGAACTGTAAGCTAATTTAGTCTGGCACAAGTATAGCATGTGAGGAATGAGAAGGTGGGCTGGGAAAGTTAACCAGAACCTCACTTAAGGTTGGGATTTGATGAAAAGGTGAAGTGAAACCACTGGAGGAATTTAGCAAGAGTGAATGGAATCCAATGTGCCTTTTAATACAACGATGGAGTTTCAAGTTACATTATTAGTCCCTTCCCCAGGAAGGGAGGTCAATACCAGGAAACATGGTTTAGAAAGGCAGAGATTATTGGCAGACCTCTTGAAAAGCTCCTTCCAGTTTTCTGCTCAAAAGTGAACCAGCCCACCTCCTCCACACACAGAGTGGACGGAGATGGGCAACTTGGACATTGGATACCCAAATGGGGATGGGGGGACTACAAAGGCAAGAAGTAACTGGCTTACAAGCTTTCAAGGGGGAACCTAGGGCTAGGGAGCATGGAGGAAGGCAGAATCTCCAGTGGGTACTATTCAATCTGTCTGGGCGGAGCGGATAAAAGGAAATACAGATGGGTAACTCGTGATACTGTAGTGAATAATGCTTATCAGGACGGATTATGAGGGTTGGAAATGCAAAGGTAGACGTTTTGGAACAAGGAAGGGAATGATTAATATACACTTGAGGGGGAGAAAAAAGAATAACCAGAAATATCACCATAGAAAGCTTGTGAGTCCATCTTCTACCTATAACTGATTGGAATACCTTAAAGGGGGCTAGAAGTTGCCCAGTGAAGGAGGCTTCCTGTGGAGCCTCTGCATTACATAAGACCATAGGTGGGATCCTGAAACCCATCTACAATCTTCTGAGATGGGAAATTTCCACTTGAAAGGTCAAGCAGACCAGCCTGGAGCAGCTAGAAAAACAGAAGATACCTCTTGAAAGAAAGTTCAACTGACTACTAAAAGGCAAGCAAGTTGTTCACCCAGGAGACATCAAGGCAAGCAGTCAGGCCCCCTCAGGGCAAACCCCGTTCCAAGACTAACACTCAATGGGACTACAGAAGCAGACACATGCTCTGACTGGTGACCACGCTGATCACCAATAAGGGGAAGTGAGGGAAAAACAGCAATAAAGCTGCGAGTTAAGTCCAACCACATTCAATACACTCCTGTAAACCCAGCAGTTGGCAAGACCTGGGGACTCCTGGGCCCAGAGTGAGTAACATAGCCACAGAGGACTAGAGTGGAGAGTGAAGCGTCCAGCTGTTAAGAAAAGAGGGCATATGCACAAGAACATCCATACTTGCAGATAATTCCCACTTGACTTGGCTTCAATGGCTGAATGATCAGAGCTCAACTAGAAGAAGAAAGAAGAGGATAAAAAAGAGTAATTGGAGACAATTTGATGAACTTGACCTACACCTATGGATGCAGTAGCTCAAAAAAGGGAACAAATCTTAACAGCGAGGATCATTCCCACCTCCTCAATACTCAGGGTAGACAGGGATGAACAACTTGGACATTGGCTACCCAAACTGGGGAAGGAGGGGGAGCCTACAAAGGCAAGAAGTGACTGGCTTACAAGCTTTCAAGAGGGAACCTAGATCCAGAGGGCACAAAGGAGTGTAGAATCTCCAATGAGTAGTACCCAATCTGTCTGGGCAGGCCTGATGAAAGGAGATGGGGATAGCACTCTTGTGGTACAATAGTGAATAATTATTATCAGGACTGTGAGGGTTGGAAATGTAAAGGTAGACATTTTTTAACAAAAGGAGAGGAGTGGTTGACTTTGCAGGCCAGGAGCAGAGGCCCCTGGAACCATCAAGGTAGAAGAGTGGAGTGTGGGACCCTACCCAGAGAAACAGTGATGCCAGAGATGGAGGCAGAGATGATGACATGGAGAGATGGAGCGGCTGGGGACTCTAGACCCAGAGAGGGAGAGGGGCTGTGTACTGACTACCAGGGGGCAGGCTTGCAGGGTGTACCCTTTGGTTGGTTGATGATGCATGGAGGGGATTGTAACCATGGCAATGTAACGAAAGCTAATGTTCTCCCATGTAAATTATCACATAATTCACAATAAAACAGTTAAAAAAAAAAATGAACCTGGATTTAGCCATACCCAAAGCCTCCAGGATTAGACAAGGATGTTTGTGCCCTGGCTCTTAACTTGCACTTCTTTTTGGACTCTGACATAATGATATTCAGGTAGTTGCCAGAAGCACGTGGGTCAACTATGGAATCCTCTGTCCAGGTCTGCTGCATGCAGGTTACAAAACTGCACCAGCTAGTTTTTTTGCTGCCTGACCAACGCCATCATGGGTCGCATGCATGCTCCCGGGAAGGGCCTGTCCTAGTCGGCTCTACCCTATCGCCGCAGCGTCCCCACCTGGCTGAAGTTGACGTCCAACAACGTGAAGGAGCAGATCTACAAACTGGCTAAGAAGGGCCTCACCCCGTAACAGATTGGTGTGATCCTGAGAGATTCTCATGGCGTGGCACAAGTACGTTTTGTGACTGGCAATAAAATCCTAAGAATCCTTAAGTCCAAAGGACTTGCTCCTGATCTTCCTGAGGATCTCTACCATTTAATTAAAAAGGTTGTTGCTGTTCGCAAGCATCTTCAAAGGAACAGAAAGGATAAGGATGCCAAGTTCCGAATGATTCTGACTGAGAGCAGAATTCACTGGCTGGCTCGCTACTATAAAACAAAGAGAGTCCTTCCCCGCAATTGGAAATACGAATCATCCACAATATCTGCCCTGGTTGCATAAATTTGTTTATGTACTTGAGCAATAAAACCATTATTTAACTACAAAAAATAAAAAAATAAAAACTGCACCAGTTAGTTAACAGCTACACAGTTTTAATGTGGTGAAGATATACATAACTAAACATTTGTCCTTTCAACCATTTCTACATATGTAATTCACTGTCACAAACCTTTGAAGGGCAAAAGTGATCTGAGAATAAAAACTTTCAATCTAGATTAACAAATGAGTAATGTGGGTTATGGGAGACAAGTAAAAAGTCAGAGCAGAAACATGAGGATGTAAAACTACCTGTTCTCCTATTTGGTGAGCAGCTGGATGAAGGATGGGTGAGTAAATTTCTACTACCAACCTTTACTGACTGAGCTAGGTCAATTGAGAAGAAGGATCAATAGAAGGTTGAGGATGGGAGCAGAACTTCTGATTATAACTTTTTTATAGTTGAGATTTTTGAGCAATAGAAATGTTTTATAGAAACCTCAAAATGGAGATAAACAGACACAGGGTAACTATTATCAAATTGGTTAACTATTATCAAACAGAACACAGAAAATGGATTTTTCTTTACCTTTTTACTGTGAATTGAGTGACGCTTTACAGATCATCAGTCAGTCCCACATTCAGCAAATCTGGGGTGTATATATTGTGTATATATTGTGCTGCAATCTGATTTTCCCACATTTAAAAATATTCTATGAAAACATATGAGGGGACCTCAAAAAAGCTGTGGAAAAATAAATTTGAAAGATAATGAAATGTTTCCACTAACTTTCTGAAGCCCCTCTTGTATCTCGTATGGTTGCAGAGTAGTTCATTCAATGGATTTAACAGATCTATTATGTGGCACTTCTCTGCTATGTAAGAGAAATTCAGTACAGCACTATTTAAAAGTCCTTCACTGTATCTCTGATGATTTTCTTACGATAAATTTCAAAAACAGCTTTACTGGGTAGAGAATAACAATTTGAAACAATGTCAAATTGTCCTGAAATATGGGAGGAACCATATTCAAATAATTACTCATATAAAATTCAACACAATGGTCAAAAAAATCAAATCGAAGTCTAAAAGCGTACAATTGGGTCTGTTATTCATGAGGTCCCTGACTTTGTGAAATGTTAATGGTGAGCCAACAACAGCATTTGTTCCAAGTTTTACTCTCAATTTAAAGATTATTTTCTGCCTAACAAACAGCCAGCTTGCTTCCAGCCACTGCATCTATGTACAAGGCTTCAAGTCTGACCCTCCAGGTCAATGTCCTTCTGTCACCTCAACATGTCTAAGCCAAACAGGACACCTTCCCCCAATGACCTCACTCCCGATTTATAATTTATTCCTTAAGCTTTTAAAAAATATACAAGTGTTTAAAAGTCTCAATCCTCTACCTTAAGCAACATATCCAAGTTATTCCTTCTAAACACAGATAGGACGGTGCCCCTGAAAGGAACGCCGATACATCTTCATACAGTCATTGGTAAACTCTACATGTGTGAGATACGGATGAATGAGTTCAGACTCTCATCAAGTCTGATGAGGACAAATGTGGCCCCTCCTACCGTGCCTCCCCTTCCATGGCCACGCTACACTGCTTTCATTTCTTCTCTTTTCAAAAATGGTCACTGGGTCCTTAGTGTTTAAGTTCTCTACTGCTGCTACAACAGAAATACCACACGCAGGCGGCTTTAACAAACAGAAACTTATTTTCTTACTATTCAGGAGGCTAAGGAGCCCTGGTGGCATAGTGGGTTACGCATTGGGCAGATAACAGCAAAGTCAGCAGTCTGAATCCACAAGCTGCTCCGTGGGAGAAAGGTGAGGCTTTTTGCTCCCCTAAGTCTCAGAAAACTCTATACAAGATCACTATGAGTCAGAACCAACTTGACAGCACCCCACACCCACCATTCACAAGGCTAGAAGTCTAACCTCGGGAAGCCAGCTCCAGGGCAAGGTCTGCCCTGTCAGCTGTGGGGACGGTTCCTTGTCTCTTTTCGTTCACTTCTTAGCGATCTTCTTTTGGCTCGGCATCTATCGCCCCCATTTTGTCGATACTAATCAGTTCTTTTTAGGTCCCTAAGGTGAGGAATGGTTTAAAACACACTCCTGGTATGGCACTGTAGGATCAGCACTGGACTGCGAACTACAAAATTGGTGGTTCAAACCCATCAGCTGTTCCTCAGAAATGCTATACAAGGTCGCGATGAGTCAGAACCAACTCAATGGCACTTACTTCCATAGTCTCTTAACATAACAAGGTAATCCCAGACTCCAATGGGACTATAGCCACAGGTATAATGGTCAGGATTTATAACACATATTTTTGAAGGATACAATTCAATCCACAACACTGCTTAAAGGGATAAAGTCCAAATTCCAAGCCTTCAACGATAAACTTTTCCCCAACTTTATGTTCTGCTTCCTCACCTTCTGACCCAAATCAGCATCTCTGGGTAAAGGGCACGACTATGTAAGCCGACTTACACTCTGGTACTTTTATTCTTGTTGCTGCCTTCTGTTCCCAAAAGCACACCCTTTCCCATCAGCTTCCCCTACCCTTAATATTGCACTTATACTAGGCAACACAGGTAAATACTATTAAGCGATGGTGCATGGAGGGGACTGCAATGGTTTCCTGAATGTAAAACTGACGATCTGCCCTGGGAACCTTCACTCACTCAATGCACAATATAAGTTTTAAAAATCCCACTCACACCATGCCATTTCTCCCTTGGAACACCATTCCACCCCTTGGGGTTCTCTCGCTCTCTTGTAGGTGCACTTTCCAAAGGACGGCACTTACATCTGTCCCAGTCATTTGACATTCATCCTTACATATTTCCAAGGGGCAACTAGCATCACTAATTTAATTTCTAAGTAAGAGGGGGGCTTGAAAAAGTTTGTCGAAAAATTCCATTATCTTTTCATTCCATTTTCCACAAACTCCTTTTAGATAAGTCTCTGGCCTAAACCACACACACACATAGAAGTCCTGGTATGGCGCTGTAGGGTTAATGCACTGGACTGCAAGGTCAGTTTGAATCGCAAGTTGGCAGTTCAAGCTCACCAGTCACTCCTTGGAAACCATATACAGGGTCGCTATGGGTCAGAAACGACTGGCTGGCACTAAACAACAACAAACAACATGTGTGTGTTTATACATATATATACACATGTATGTTGTTGTTGTCAAGTGTCGTCAAGTCGATTCCAACCCATAGCAACCCTGTATAGGGTTTCCAAGGAGCAGCTGGTGAGCTTGAACCACTGACCTTGCCGTTCAAACTTTGCAGCCTGACGCATTAGCCCACAGCACCATACCAGGATTCCATATACGTGTATGTGTGTGTATACGTATATATATGGTGGTGGTGGTTATGTGCTGTGGAGTTGGTTCCAACTTATAGCGACCCTGTACAGGGTTTCCGAGGTTGTAAATCTTTACAGGAGCAGCAAGCCTCATCTTTCTCCTGAGGAATAGCTGGTAGTTTCAAACTACTGACCTTGTGGTTCACAGCCCAATTCGTAACCACTATGCATATATGTAGTAAGTGCTCAATATTTTTATTTTCTACATATATGCAATGCTTCATATTTAAAAATTTCAAACATAATAAAAATTACATTTTTTGAGTTAAAAAGTATAGAGTAGCTAGTGTTGTATTCTCAGAACCTACAATAGTGCCTGTCTCCTAGTTAAGTGTCAAGTATTATATGAATGAATAGCTGCATGAACTTGAACATGAGGGAATGTGAACAAGTCAATGGGTCTATTATCATTCTAGTTTACACTAAGCTAAACAGTTACAGAGACACAGGATTTTGGCATTAGACTCCTGGTGTGGTGCTGTAGGATCAGCACTGGGCTACAAACCACAAGGTCAGCAATTCAAACCCACCAGCTGCTCCTCAAAAACCCTATACAAGGTCACTATTGAGTCAAGACCAAGTCAAGGGCACTTAACAACAACAACAATTTTGGCATTACCTTGTTCCTACATGAGCGTAGGTCTCTGAATTGTGAGCTTCCAAAGCCTTTGTAGGCAAATTCATCCTTACAGTGGATTATTTTAAGAATGCCTAAACTCTGAGAATATTACACTTACTTGGCTATTAAGGTGACTAACTTTGTTATTCAAGGTTATAACATTAAATAAAGGTACCACCACTAGACGGTTGTTGTCAAGTGCTGTCGAGTCAGTCCTGACCCATAGTGACCCTGAATAGGAGCAGCTTGTGAACTTGAACTGCCGATCTTACATTTCAAACCAACCTTGCAGTCCAGCTCATTAACCCACAGCACCACACCAGGACTCCATATTTACTACACTTATGCTTAAAAGCCTAAGTTTCTTTGAAAGTTGTAGTGATGCCAAAGGCATTCTTGCAGTCTAGTTAAAAACTAGCTACAACATAAGGTATGTTAGTAAGTTCAGAACTTCCTACCTTTGGAGCCAACATTTCCATCTGTACTGGTTTCACAGAAGCAGTAGGTTTCAGTTGTTTCTTGGCATTTGTTGTTTTGGTGGTTTGAACTGGTACTTTAGTGTTCGGAGCTTTCTAGAAGGAAAAAAAGGAGTTTTTCCAGTCAGAGCTACACAGAATGCACCCTTGCATGCCCACATACAGTCCTCATGGCAGTTACCTTAGCTACTTGTGTTGCTCTGCTTGTAACTCTATTTCCAATTTCTTCTAAAACTGCCCGTCTAATCGTCACATGACTCTTAGTTTTAGAATTAATTTCTTTGTCAATATTTTCCACATCACTGGACACCTAATAAAAACAGAAAGAGAGAAAGAAAAAGAATAAAGAGTTTAGACTATTTAAAATTTTTTGCTATCTAATACACAAATTTAGAATTGTTTGTTTTGGGAAAGGTGATTATGCTCAGATCTATTTCAAAGTGAGAAAGGTAGATTTTAGGCCTTATAATGTTGTTTTTGACTGATAACATCCTTCTAAATTAGGCAAATCACTCGTTTACTTTATAATATTCTCCCACTAGTCTTATAAAGGTATTCTGAGTATTCATGAAAGCCTGTAAGAAACCTTAAAACTTCTGATTATTTCTCATATAGCACCAAGTCACTTATTGTTGTTAAGTACCTTAATGCATTACATGCATAGCGATCTTTAATAGCCAACCCTGCAGTTCAGTGCTTATCCTACAGTGCCATACCAGGATACCAGTCTGTTACTAGTAGTCCTGGTGTGGCGCTGTAGGATAATCACTAGACCACAAGGTAGGTTTGAATACAAGGTCAGCAGTTCAAACTCACCAGCCACTCCTTGGAAACCCTTTACAGGGTCACTATGAGTTGGAACCAATTCAAAGGTAGTTAACAACAAAGTCCCTTATTAAATGTTCCTATAAATTTATGGTATCTATTCAAAATTCTTCTTATATAGAAATTAGTAAGAATAATTAGGATATAACACACAAAAAAAATCTATTACACAACTGGTTATTTAAAATGTAGAAACTTAAAACCTAAACTAGCTTTTAATTTTTCTGCTATTCTAGAAAGATAAATTCCTTAGACATCGTTTACAGAATGAACATATTTTCTCTTACATTAAAGATACTTGTTGGTAGGTGTCATCGAGTCAGTTCTGACTCACAGTGATCCAATATAACAAAATGAAACACTGCCCAGTCTTGAGGCCTCCTCACAACTGTTGCTATGTTTCAGCCAATTGTTGCAGTCATTGTTTCAATCCGTCTCATTGTGGGTCTGCCTTCCTTTTTTTTTGCTTACCTTCAACTTTACAAAACATCATGTTCTTCTCTAGGGACTAGTGCAAAGTAAGTGAGACAGTCTTGCTTGCCATTCTTACTTCTAAGCATTCTGACTATGTGCCTTTCAAGACAGATTTGCTCATTCTTTGGTAGCCCAACATAATTCAAATGCATCGTTTCTTCTTTGGTCTGCCTTTCTCATTGTCCAGTTTTCACATGTATATGAGGTCATTGAAAATACCATGGCTTACATCAGGCACAACTTCAGAAATAACATTTCTGAACACTTTAGAGGTCTTCTGCAGCAGATTTGCCCAATGTATTATGTCATTTGCTTTCCTAACTGCTGCTTCTATGGGCATTAACTGTAGATTCAAGTAAAATGAAATATTTGATAACTTCAATCTTTTCTTCATTTATCATGATGCTGCTTAATGGTCTAGTTCTGTGATTTTTTAAATTTTCTGTATGTTGAGATGCAATCCATTTTGAAGTCTTTAATCTTCATCAAGAAGTGCTCCAAGTTCTCTTTGCTTTCACCAAGCAAAGTTGTATCATCTGCATATTGCAGGTTGTTAGCAAATCTTCCTCCAAACCTGATGCAGCTTTGTTTGTTTTCTGATGCAGCATTCTTCTTCAGATAGTCCAGTTTCTTGGATTACTTAGTCAGCATGCAGATTGAATAAGTATGGTGGAAGGATGCAACCCTGATATACACCTTTCCTGACTTAAAACCATGCAAAAGCGTTCTGGAATTCCATCCTTTGCAATGTTATTCATAACTTGTTGTGAACCACGTTAGTTGAATACCTTTGCACAGTCAATAAAACACAAGAAAATATCTTTCTGGCATTCTCTGCTTTCAGATCAATCTAACATCAGCTTGATATCCTTCATTCCATGTCTTCTTATGAATCCGGCTTACATTTCTGGCAGTTCCCTGTCAATATACAACTGCAATTGTTTTTGAATTATCTTCAGCAAAGTTTTACTTGCAGGTGATAGTAATGATTTTGTTCAATAATTTCTGCATTCTGTTGTATCATCTTTCTTTGGAATGGGCACATATATGGACTCTTCCAATAAGTTGGTCAGATAGTTGTCTTCTAAATTCCATGGTATAGGTGAGTGGGCCACTTCCAGTATAGCATCCTAAGGATACTTAGAAAGGATATAATTTTCTTGGCTAAAGCAGTTTTAGTTTAGGGAGGGCTAGAATTGTAGGGGGGAAAATCATTAGCTAACCTTAACTTGCTTCAGACAAAATATGCTTAGCAACATACCTTACTAGAAAAAGTAATTCATACAAAAAGGTCTGTATTACAGTATTGATGAACAGTTTATGAGAAAGAACAGCATTGTTGTTGTTATGTGCCATGGAGTCGGTTCCGACTCATAGCAACCCTGTACAGGGTTTCCGAGGCTGTAAATCTTCATGGGAGCCTCATCTTTCCTGGTAGTTTCGAACTGCTGACCTTGTGGTTCACAGCCTGATTTGTAACCACTACGAGACAAGAGTTCCTTAGTCTATCCTTAAGTGTTGAGTCCTACAATTAAAACAAAACAAAAACACATCCCTGGTGGCACAGCATTGCTAACCTTATAGGTCTGTGGTTCAAACCCATTAGGAAAAAGATGAGGCTGTCTGCTTCCGTATAGATTTCATCTAGGAAACCCAAAGGAGTTCTATTTTGTTCTATAGGGTCACTGAGTCGGAATCAACTCAACGGCAATGGGTAATCCTAAACAATCTATCATCAACAGGGGCTTAAGAGCACCTACCAGGATAGATTGAGGCACAGGGGGAAATTCACTTCAACAGAAATAATTCAACTATTAAAGCACCTAAGGGCTAGATAATGACGCTTTCTACTCCCGTAAAGATTTACACCCTCGGAAACCCTGTACAGGGTCGCTATGGGTCGGACCCGACTTGATGGCACTTAACAACAACAACAACAACAAAGGGCTAGATAAGAAACAAATTACTCACCAGTTTCACTTAGATCCTTAAAGGACCATGAACTGAATACTTGCATGTATTGCACCTATTGTTAAATGACCTAGAGTTGGTTCCAACTCATCCTGTATAGGATTTCTGAGGAGTGGCTGGTGGGTTTGAACCACTGACCTTGTGGTTAGCAGTTCAGTGCTTATCTTACAGCGTCACATCAGGACTCCATTCTTAAAAGTCACATTGTTCAATATTTCCAGCAGCTACTTGCAATCTTTAAACAACGTTGGAAGTTTAATGTTTATGGGTTGAAGCCCAGTAATGTGGCTGTGTTTAAGTTCAATTGGAAGGTAGGATTGGCAGCTCTTAACTAGCCTATTAGTCAGAATGATGGAACACAGCTGTGCCAGGGCCCTCTCGTTTTCAGCAGAGGAAAAGTAGATGCAGATACCATTCAAATGCACAGGAAATATACCCAAAATATCAGAACACTTTGATTTTTGCAATGGTGAAATAAATTTGAATCCTTTTCAATCAGGCTGCCAATTATATGCAAATTCTCTATTCACTCGAGTAAATTAATTCATTTTTTTACAAGAACAAACCCAGACATTACTGACCTAAGCCACAGTGTGAGGAAATAGCAGGAAAATCATACAAAGCAATATGTGAAAAGAAAAAAGCCATGGCTGTCAGCTGACCAACTTCACAGACTATGGAATTTCACCCTGTGCTACTCCCCAGCTCGCAAAACAGTGCCCTAAGTTAGCAAATTTATAAGTAAACTAAATTTGCATTTGTAGAGCAGTGCTCTAACAAAAAGCGCTTGGAGGTCGCTGAGTACCGCCTAGGGAGACTCACTGGACAGGAAGCACCCCGGGCGCATTGTCCTACACCTCTTCCATCCGAGGGCCGGTGGGGAGAAGCCGGCTACAGAGGGCCCTGGATGCGAGGGAACCCGGGAGCCCCAAGGAAGGGAAAAGCAGCGTCGGTATGGACAAGAGTCAGGGGAGGTTGAGGGTGTTGCGGGGAGAAGCCCACGACCGGTGTAAGGGGGACGCCGGGCCAACTCACCGTCGGGCGTCGGAGCAGAGCCATTAGGATCCAGGAAGACTAGACTGACAGCCCGCTGGCCCAGGAGGGAACGCGGACTAGAGGGGGAGGGCCCGGGCTTCCGCGACGCCGTTAGGCCTAAGATCCCGACCCGCACCTCCAGGAATCGCCGGCGAGGTCTGATTCCAGGATTCAAATACCGCGCCGCTCGCGCCCCAATTGGGCGGCCTTACGTACGGCGCGTCCTTCTCATTGGCTAAAATCGGAGACACTCGCGCACGCTGAGTGGTTGGATTTTCCTGGACTCGTTTGGCTTGGTGTTGTTATAACAACTAGGACCCGTTTTGTTTTTTGTTTTGTTTAAATCCTGGCCAATAAGAAAAACAAAAATGAAACGTGTCCTTGCGACGGCCAGCCGACTTAGGACGCCTTCCACGAATTTTGACCAACCTTAACCTTCAGATATGTCTCGTAGTGTCGTGTGGATGGAAGTCTGTTCTTGGAAGCACCGTGAGAGTAACGTTTATGACCTTCACCTCCAGGAAGCGTCCTGATATATATAGCATTACAGCATAAGTGGACTTCTGGTGTGGCGTTGTCGGTTAATGCGGCAAACTGCAACATCGGTGTGGGCCGATAAGGCCGGCAGTTCTAATTCACCAGCTGCTCCTTGGAAACACTGTACAGGGTCGCTATGAGTCGGATCCCGACTCTATGGCACTTAACAACAATAGCAAAAGTACTGGACTGGTTACTGCAACGTCGTCAGTTCAAACCCACTCGCCGATTGCGGAAAGTTGCTGAGAGTCGAAACGACTCGAAGGCACACACAACATCCTCCTGGAAACATCTATATGTAGTTAGGGTTGTGTTTAGTCTACACCCTGGAACAAGTCTCTGGGCAACTCAGAGCTGCCCTTTGTTAGGTGGTTGAGAGTCAAATGTGAGAGAGGGTATTGTGGCATTCACGCAAAAACTAAGATTCCCAGAAAAGGTTAAAAATAATTTATATAATTAATACTTGCTCTATTATGTACCAGGCACAATGTTTAGTATATGATTGGTGCTCTATCAACATTCGTCGAATTAATACCATCGCATCAAGATTTAAAGTGAGAAAGTGACCCAAGCAGTGACCAGTATTGTTTGCCCTGGAAAAGAGGTGAGCAGGAAGTGGGTAATTAAGAACAAGACAGGAAAGGGGAAAGGAGAAAGGAAAGGTCCCTAGCCCACAGCAATGGTAGTGGAGTAAACTGCGTATCAGGCTCCACTGAGGAATCTGAACAAGCATTCTATCATTCCTATTTTGACTCTTGCAAAATTAATTCACCCAGTATTGAGTCCTGCATGGAGTATGGAGTCCTGTGTGGTGCGGTGGGATAACCACACGGTCACCTGTTCAAACCCACAGGCTCCAACATATTTAACAAGTAGGTAGGTGAACTTCATATACACATTCTTCGCACACCTATGAAATTAAAAATAATAAAAGACTTTGGAAAACATTTAAAATTTTTACCTATTTGTTATGTGGGTACTAATTATCAGCTTGGTGTGGGATAAACTTTAATGACAGTTAAATTGCCTCCCAGGCTCCATCCTCTATTGGGTGTAAGTTTTTGACATTTCTGACCTGGTTCCTCTTTTCTAAAACAAAAATACTTCTGGCTCCCCATCAGTCTCCAAGACTCTGAGATCAGAACTAGATGGTGTCCAGCTACCACTACCAACTGCTCTGAAAGGGATTACATTAGAAGGTCCCAGACAGAGTGGAGAAAATGGAACAAAACTCAAAATTCTAACAATAACAAAACCAGACTTACTGGTCAGAAAGAGACTGGAGGAAGCGGAAACTATGGCCCTCAGCCATCCTTCAGGTCTGGAATGGAGCTTTCCTTGGTGACCCAATTTTCAGCCAAGCCAAGACAGGTATATATTATATAGCAGGGGCAACAGCACTAGTTAAGGTATGCTCACCATGGAATGGTCAATCATTCAAGATCAAGAGGGCAACATTTACCTAAGAACAAAATTGAGAAAGGATGGGAAAGTGAGTGGAATGGAAACAGAAACCACAGGGAGGAAGCGGTGGGATGACTGTTGTTGCGTGGAGGAGACTGCAATCATTGAGATGAAACAAAGTGTGTGCTTTGTTGACTGTAAAACTGAGGATCTTTTCTGTAAACCTTCACTCAATTCACAATAAAAAGTTAAAAAAAGAAAAAATTCCAACTCTTATTTGGCATGGGAAGATGTTTGGTATATTCATCTAAAAGATATCCCATGGGTAAGTATTGGAAGGAAAAAAACAGATGTTTTAGGGTACTTGGGCTGTGAGTAAAATTATATTTTTGCTTTATTGTATGTGATGGTATAATCAAAAGTTAGTGTAAAAATACTAATGTTTGCACACTCAGTACTTTGTAAACAAAGATGTTGTGTTAACTGAAGAGTCTTAATGTTAAAATCAAACAATTTAATACATATTATCAGGTATTATCTTCATTAAAGGAGCGCTTGTAGTGTAGTGGTTATGAATTGGGCTACAAACCGTAAGGTCAGCGGTTCAAAACTACCAGCTGTTCCGTGGGAGAAAGATGAGGCTTTCTGTTCCCGTAAAGATTTACACCCTCGGAAACCCTGTACAGGGTGGCTATGAGTCAGAACAGACTCCACAGCACATAACCACCAACCACCACCATCTTCATTAAAGATGGAAGTAATGTTTGTTGTTTTTTAGCCCCTTACTGCCACTAGCCTAGAACGGGACACAAACTTTGATTTACCCTCTTGTTTAATGCACTACGGTACTCCTGTCATCTTGTTATTGTTAAGTGCTGTTGAGTTGGTTCATGCCGACTCACAGTGATCCTGTATAGGATTTCAGAGGAGCGACTGGAGGGTTTGAAACACCAAACTTGCAGTTCAAACTGACCTATGGTCCAGCGCATTATCTTGCAGAGCCACACCAGGACTTCAATTTTACACAAACTTCCTCATTGCTCCTCATAACAATTCCTATGAAGTAGTTAGTATTCTCTCCCATTTAAAGAGCCCTGTGGCACCGGACTGCAAAGTCAGTTTGAACTACAAGGTCAGCAGTTCTAATCCACCAGTCCCTCTGCAGAACAAAGATGTGGTGGTCTACTTCTGTAAAGATGTATTGTTGTTGTTAAGCGCTGTGGAGTCAATTCCTGTGTAGGGTTTCTGAGGAGTGGCTGGTGAGCTTGAACCGCCGACACTGTAGTTCAAACCGACATTAACCCACAGCATCACACCAGGGCTCCCTGTTAAAACTACAGCCTTGGCTATCCTATGGGGCAGTTCTACTATGTTATTGGGTGGCTGTCAGAATCAACTTGACAGCATGAGTTTTGGGGTGTTGTTCCTCATTTAACTGATGAGGCTTGCAGCAGTTAAAAGTCTTGGCTACAACTATACAAGACCTCTTTAAAAGTGTTCAAGAGCCTGTGGGCCCAAGCATTGTTGACCGTCCAAACCATAGGCTCTGAGGATCAGACTTTAGCTACCTAGTAGACATAGCAAACTGTCCCTCATCTGATTATTCAGTAATGCTTGTTAGTAATCTCATACATGAGCCCTGGATATCCACAGACAAATGTAAAAACCTCCCCTAAAAGCCGAGACTGTAAATTCCAAAAAGGCAAGTCCCACCCCCCCATCCAATAAAAAAAAAAAAGCTAAAGAGGATAGAGAGAAACACTGTTAACTGATGATATATGGAGGGGATAATAATCAATGTAATGAAACAAGCTATATGAATGGTTGAATGTGAAGCTGATGATGTGCCCTGTAAACTTTCACTCAATCCAAAATAAAAACATTTAATTAAAAAAAAAAAAAAGTGTTCAAGAGCAACTATGTCAGTTTCAAGACTAAGGTGTAACTGACCCAAACTACAGTATTTTCAATAGCCTCATATGCTTGTGAAAGTTACAGGAAGACCATAGAAGAATTGCTGCATTTGAGTTATAGTTTTGGAGAAGAGTATAAAAAGTACCATGGGCTGCCAAAAAACAAACCATTCTGTGCTGGAAGTAGAGCCAGAGGGCTCTTTAGAAGCCACAATGGCAAGCATGCTGTATAGGAGAAAGACATCATGTTTGGTAAAGTGGAGGGTCAGTGAAAAAAAGGAAGACCCCCAACAAGATGGACTGGCACAGTGGTAGTAGCAACGGGTTCAAGCATAGCAATGACTTTGAGGTTGACACAGGTTGGGGGCAGTTTCCTTCTGTTGTGCATAAGGTAACTATGAGTTGGTACTAACTTGACGGCACCTAACAACAAATAATCATACTGCTTATGAGTTCCAGAGCTAGGATTTGTTCCCATGTCTGAGTGTGCTTTCTCACTATATATAGTATTTTTCACAGAGTGGGAAAATCTGAAAACCATCAAAATAGAAGACTGATTAAAGATAAAATTCTGGAGGCCAATGATGCTATACAGTCATTATAGTAAAATTCTATTTAATCAATTTATTTTCATTTCTTGGTCAAGTGCTGCTTCCAATGGATGTACACATGAGCTTCAGTAAACAGAGGGTGAAAGGGCATGCTCAGACAGAAGGAGCATCTCAAGCAAAATCAGAAAGAGGCAGGAAAGGACTAGCATGATTGGAAACAAGGTGAGTGGCTTGGTTTGGCAGAAGCCACTGGGTTTCAGCATAGCTGCTACATACTACCTTCCAACCTCAAAACAGGGAGTTTGGGAGAGAAAGAACAAGAAGAGAGCGAAGCAAATAACCAGAGAGATTCCAACAAAGATCTTTAGTGCTAAACAGGAACTTCTCTTTTCTGACATCAAAATCCTCCTGCTAGCTAAATGAATTTACTTAGAAAGTCTTTTACTAAGCATTCTATCAAAGCATGGGGCTTGTTTTTCCTTACTATGATGGAGAAAGGTAGTCACAAATTTTTTTTCCATAATTTTTTTGTTACACCTTCTATTAAAAAGTACAGTTAATTACTCTGAAAGATGTGTTAGAATCATACCAGTGAATGTAATTCTATATGGAAATAGGGTTTTGTTATATCT